TTGATTTGGAGACAAAAACTCCTGTAGTTGGAATCTACGGCTGCCATCTAACCCTTTGGCGTAGCGCATTTGTTGCGCAACTGTGCTTGGGTCCTGTTTGTGACCTGTTTCTTGTCCAAGAAAAAACATTTCGTCTAAAAATGACTTTTGTTGCTCTGAAAAACGTGAGGACTTCTTTGACGCTTTGAGTGCCCAACCACGGTTTAATATCGCCTGGTCAGCATCATCCATTTTCTCGACTTGCGTTGGCGCGAGGGATGGTACAGAGGATTTCGTTTGAAGCTTATCTTGATATTTTAAAATTGCTTTGTCGAAAAGACTTTCTTTTTCTTCTTTAAGTTTACATGTACCATACTGAATATGGTTGTCAAGTGATGCGTAACGTTGGAACATTTTTACGCATCCCTCAACAGGACATGCAAACAGTTTGGACATTTCTTCGTCATCGTCATCTTCTTCATAATGATCACTATCGGCTTCAATTTCTTTTTCTTTCTGAGAAGCGGCTTTCTTTTTAGATCTGATTTCAGTAAAACATCCTTGGCTAAGGGGAGAATTGATTGGAGAAATGTTCAAGGTTTCTCGAGCTAGAAATGAAAGTATAAATAAATACATACATGTCAGTAACTTTTCCTTAGTTTTCATGCATGCAACATCTCGTATACTAACCTGTCAATGATGACCAGGAGACAAGTTTACCGGTGCCGATCTTGTATGCCTTCCAACAGATGAGTCCATCCTTGGTAACTTCAAAGTTGTTGAGTGTGCTTATGCCTTCGAGTTTGGAATCACTTGTCAATGGAGTAAGTTTGGTTCCGTCGATTAAAGCTACACGTACACCACGAACACTGCCACTGGACAGGATAGCTTGACATAGATCGTATGCTGTATTAACGTCATTCCCTTCGTTAATGAATCGACGGATGTGAGCCTTAATTGTCGCTGCTTTTCTGTCGCAGGGTCCCTTACCCCCCTGAGGATCGCTAAAATCGACTCGACCAACCTTTAATTAGAGTTAATTTGCTTTCAATAAAATAGAATTTATCATTCTTATTACTATTATACCATAATGCAGACATTTTACATTTGACTGTCGAAGAGAACGGCGATTGTAGAACGAAGATTGCGCAACGGAGACATTGTTTTTGATAATTGATAGKGAATAAAAGTTGTTCTATTTATGTATTGTGCTAGCCATTGMMTCTGTTTAATTTGCATTTTCTCAACCAAAAATATTTGTGTACCCAAAACAACGTTCCCATAGTTCCTTTYGGTCGCGCAATTCTTTTAATAGCTTTTTTGCGAATAAGGTGTATTTATSCATTGAATGAGAAAGGATTATTATGACGACGATAATGATAATTATACTCATCATGATCATCATAATCATCAGTTTACCTTAATTCCAGTGGCATTCTCCATTAAATGACATGCAGTTAACAGTTCAGTACTATGATAACAACCGGCGTTGTCCTGGCGGTAATACGCCGTATCTACTTCAGGATGTTCCTCTTTAATTGAACGTAAAGTATGCTCCATGATGCTGATGACTACACTGCTATCTTGAGTACATTGGTCTACTACGTGAACATACACTTGATGAAGTAAGTCTCCACTTTGATTTTTGCGGATTACCACAGAAATGTGCCATGAAATCCCCCTCTTTCCGAACCAATCGGTCTGAGTTTCTCTATATTTCTGCGGGAGGAATTTCATGGCCCAATCCTGTGTAATCAGTACTTCGCTTGGACCAAGTTTTAAGAGTAGGTCTGTCCGCGCCTTATCTTGTTGGATAGAACGAAGCTGGTGCGCTTTCCAAGCACCAATAGCTGAAACTGCTTGCTGGAACAAGAACTTGATATCGTCGTGCTGTTCGGAAGTAAAGGAATCGGCTGACTCAGTTATAGCTTCCTTGATATCGTCTAGAACAGTCTTCAGTTCTTCACAAGAAAGACAGAAATGGTCATGTGGATGACCGCAAGCAACGCCAAATTTGTCATGATCCTTGTCATGGCTTAACGAATGATGTATACAGTGGTCTGCGATATTGCTGGCTTCAGTTACATGAACCTGGAACGTATAAGTATACAAAACAAAACAGTTTAATTGAAAACCTCTGCTTTATCAAGATAGACTTAGTAACAGTAACAGATACAGTATCCTAAATAGCATCAGCATAT